ACCCGAATGTTGTTCGGAGTCCCGGATGAGATCCCGGACGTCATGATGAGTTTTGGAATGGTCCGGAGGTAAAGAATTATATATAGGAAGTGCTGTTTCGGCCATCGGGACAAGTTTCGGGGTTATCGGTATTGTACCGGGACCACCGGAAGGGTCCCGGGGGCCCACCGGATGGGGCCACCTGTCCCGGGGGGCCACATGGGCTGTAGGGGGTGCGCCTTGGCCTAGATGGGCCAAGGGCACCAGCCCCAAAAGCCCATGCGCCTAGGGTTCCACAAAAGAGAAGAGTCCCAATGGTGGAAGGCACCTCTAGGTGCCTTGGGGGGGAGGGAAACATCCCCTTGGCCGCCGCACCTAGGAGATTGGATCTCCTAGGCTGGCGCACCCCCCCCCCCTTGGCCCTCCTATATATAGTGGGGGAGAAGAGGGACTTCATAGACCAGCCCCTGGCGCCTCCCTCTCTCCCCGTTACGTCTCTCTCTCGTAGTATAGGCGAAGCCCTGCTACTGTGACGCCCTGCATCCACCACCACGCCGTCGTGCTGCTGGATCTTCATCAACCTCTCCTTCCCCCTTGCTGGATCAAGAAAGAAGGAGATGTCATCCGTTCCGTACGTGTGTTGAACGCGGAGGTACCGTCCGTTCGGTGCTAGGATCTCCGGTGATTTGAATCACGTCGTGTTCGACTACATCAACCCCGTTCTTCGAACGCTTCTGCTCGCGATCTACAAAGGTATGTAGATGCATCTAATCACTCGTTGCTAGATGAACTCCTAGATGGATCTTGGTGAAACGAGTAGGAAATTTTTTGTTTTATGCTACGTTCCCCAACAGGCCGAGGCGTCGCCCGTCCGCGAGCCGCTGTGAGTACGCGTGGCGGGCGAGGGAGGGCGAGGGACGCGCGTCATCCGGTCTTCACTGCGCCGCCCGTGAGGCATCAATGACGCGGGCTGACCGGCGCGACAGCTTTGGCATTGATTCGCCGCGGGAAACGAGGCGATGAGAACGACGAAGGGGCGAGAAGAGGGTAGAACCGCTGACGTGGCGGGCCCGCGGCTGTTTCGCGCCAAAACAGTTCGCCCCGGCGCCCCCGGGCGCCCCCCAGCGCGCCGGGTTCGGCCTGGTTCCGCCGGCGCTGTTTTCGGCTCAAGTCGACGAAAATCGGCCTCCTGGGGTGCGACTGAGCTGATTTTTTGGCGCCGGCGCAAAAAAACACCTCGGAAGGCCTTCCTGGGGCGCGACTGAAGATGCACTAAATCTCTATTCAAACGGACAGAATCCAGATAAAACGCACTTGGATTTAAGGTCGCGCGGTGGAGTTGGCCTGACAGCAGGTGTCTTCCAGCGGAAGACGTCGCAAATATCGGCGCAAAATACTCCCGTTCTGTTTCCAAACTCCAAGGCCCCCCTTCCTCTTGTCTGTGTCGCACCGCCGCCGACCGGGTGCCTGCCGATCATGGCCGCCCGCGACGACCTGGCCGCGCTCCGCGAGCAGACCGCCCTCGCCTCCTCCTCCGCCGTCTCCGTCTCCGACCTCGACCTCGCGTACCAGCTCCAGCTCGCCGAGGCCATCCAGGCATCTCTCCGCCTCGACGCCCTCTCCAGCAATCCCTCCTCTTCCAAAGGCAAAGCCCCCTTCGCCGCCGCCGCCGCCTCCTCCTCCTCGTCCCGGTCCCAGCCCGCCCCCGCGCCGCCGGAGCCCTCGGACGCCTCATACGCCCTGGCGGTCCACGCCGCCGACCTCGCGCGCGCCGAGGAGGACCACCGCTACGCCGAGGCCTGCCGCGCCTACCACGCCAGGGCCGCCGCATCCGCCTGCGTCGCCGCCCACGACGCCATTTTCGCGCGCGAGCTCGCCGCCGTGCCGGAGGACCAGTGGGCCCACGACGGGGACAACATCGAGCGGCCCCTGGACTCGACCAAGCCCCTCTTCCGCGTCATGTTCAAGGGCATGGCGAGCAAGGAGGTGGTGGGATCGCGGGACTGGGACCCCCGCATCGCGGTGCTCGCCGTGGCGCTGTGCGACTCCCAGGGAAAGGTGGTGCTCAGGATACAGAAGCCGGTGGAAGGGTTTGTGGGCGGTCGCATGATGCTCGAGGCAATGGCGCTCACCGAAGGCCTCCAGGCGGCGCTCGCGTTAGGGATCCAGAGCATCAGGATTGTCAACGATTACAAGGCACTCCATAACCATGTATGCCATGATGCAACCTCTAAATCACTCCGCTTTTATCATCTGTTTTATTACTGCTTAGTTGTTACTCGAAGTCCTCAGATTTGCATATGCAGGTTAATAGAAAATATTCTTGTCACATCGCGGAATTGATCTCATTGTAGTATATATTTTGGTACTCTAATGTTGTTTCCTCATGTTTACAATGCTTGACAGTTTCAGTGGCTGTTTCATTGTATGGTCGTACTGGGAACTAACGGATTGCAAACTCGAGATTTTGGAGGTTACATATGTTACAGAAGAAAAGTCTAGAGTTATGACAATCCATAAACTGATGGCTCTATCATCACATAACTGGATAATCACATCTTTAGATAATTGGTTTGAATAGGGGTCATAATCCATTTCCATTTTACCATAAATCGGATATATAGTGTTTTTACAACAGGGATATACAGTTAATGAATCTCTTCGGTGAAATGAGATCACTGTCTTAAGCTAAATGTAGCTTAAACACAAACTTACAGCTATGTGCCGTTTGGATATTCCTAATTATTTGCTGTACATGTTTTGTGTTTCTCTATCTGCTCTGCTTTCTGATTATGATGTTAGAAAAGCATAGGAGGATTTTCTGCATTAGTTATTCATTTAAAGTTATCGGTTTCAGCTGAAAATATTTTTCTGGTCCTGGGTTCATGTTTGATACAGAAAATGTTCTTGAACTCTTTAATTCAAACATCCCCAAGGTGAGTGTAGTTGGGTTCAGAGCAGCTTAGTTAGTTTTAAGACATTATATTAGACATGAATTGTGTTTCATGTAAGTTCAGTGGTCACATGATTGAATTCTTTATCAGTGCTCTTATTGTGATGTCCTGTACTCTTATGCTTATTTCCTAATTTTGGGATTGTAGGTGCGTGGAATTTGGCGCCCGAAACAGGCGAAGCTTGCAGAAATGATAGATCAGGTTCTGTCAGTAGCAAAGAAATTCAAACAATGTGAAATTTCACTTGTGGAACGAGGCAAACTTGATTACGTGATGAAATTAGCAACAGATTCGATACTCTCTCAGATTGCCAAAGCTGTTGCTGTGAATGCTAGCAAGGAGAAAAGAGAGACCTGCGCCATCTGCCTGGAAGACACCGATGTTTCTAAAATTCATGTGGTCGAAGGCTGTGCACATCGCTTTTGTTTCTGCTGCATGAAGGAGCATGTGAAAGTTAAGCTACTCCATGGAACTCTCCCAGCTTGCCCACAAGATGGTTGCACTACAAAGCTAACCGTGGAGGGCTCAAAGATATTCCTATCGCCTCGACTGTTAGATATCATGGTGCAACGCATCAGGGAAGGACAGATCCCTGCTACTCAAAAGATTTACTGCCCGTACCCCAAGTGTTCAGCCTTGATGTCCTTGAGTGAAATCAAACACCCATTGCAAGAATCTTCCTCAAAATACACCATTGCTGATGCTGCCACATTGAGAAAGTGTGTCAAATGCAGAGGCTCATTCTGCATCAGCTGTAAGGTCCCATGGCATGACAGGATGTCTTGTTACGACTACAAGAGTAGGTACCCCCAAGCTCGTCCAGATGATGCGAAGTTACAGAACCTTGCACGGCAGCAGCTGTGGCGCCAATGTGTCAAATGCAAGCACATGATTGAACTCTCAGAGGGCTGCTACCATATGACCTGTGTGTAAGTATCTAATTCTGGTTGTGCTGTTTGCATATCTATCTTTACCGATGTTACTATGAATGGTCTATTCTTATGATTTTTCATGTCAATCAATTCCCTGCTGATGTGTTTTTCATGCCCTAATGCTCACAGCCTCAGATGTTTGACCTTTTTGTGCATCTTGTTCTTGCTTAATTCTTCCAGGTGCGGCTATGAATTCTGCTACACCTGTGGGAAAGAATGGAAAGACAAGAAAGCGACCTGCTCGTGCCCGCTGTGGGATGAAGATAATATTATCCGTGATGGCATGGAAGAGGACGATGGCATGGAAGAGGACGATGACGATGAGGATGATGACTATGACTACGATGACGATGAGGATGATTACTATGCTAGAGAAGGCCAACACTATGACCGGCAGAACGCTGGTCACCACCATGGTGGTGGAGGAGCCCAGAATTTTTATGACTACAACAACAATCCCAGGCATCTTCCTCGTCATGGCGGTGGAGGGGCTCGAAATTTGTATGACTACAACAACAATCCTGGGCATCTTCCTCGTCCTGGCGGTGGAGGGGCTCGAAATTTCTACAACTACAACTAGTCCAGTACTTCTGCAGCTACAACTGATGTTACTATTAGTTAAGCAGAATCTCCTACCATTCTATTTGCGTTTGCGTTTAGTATCTAACTACCTGATGGTACTATCCCGTCAGTGATATTTTCTTTTATGCACACTCTTGGATAGTATGCACATGCTCAGAACAGAGCTTGCTCCAGTATCTTTTGTTGTTTCTTCTTTTTATTTCATCTTAATCCTCAAACAAGAAACAAATCATAGCCCAGGACAAGAAAAGCACAGGTGAAAGTAAGCTCCGCAGGAAGAAAGAGCAGCATGCCAACTCCTGTAGTTCCTGCCGTCTAGAGTACTATACATACAGTGTTGTAAAGGCCTATGGAGATGGAAAATCAAAAAAAGTTTTCCTCAAGAGGGGAAAGGATACAACCTAACATCATTTGGTAAGAAGGCTGTGTGTAATATCTGTCCTGTTCCTTTGCAACAAGGGCACAAAAACTTCTGTTGCATGTCTCCAGTTCTCTCTTTACATCATAGATAGAGGAGGTAACCAGCCAACCCGACCCAGGTTTTGCGTGTCTGTCATCCTCTCGAACCCACCATGTTCTTCTTCTCTTGTAAAGAGTCGGCGGTCTCCTTCTCAGCTTCGATCATGGCCTTCTTGGCGAGCTCGTAGCCTGCAAAGTTCATTGCTCCGAGAGGAGCGATCCAGAAGAAGCGTGGGATCGCACCCTTGAAGAGCCCGAGGGGTCCCTCGTTTCGGAGGATGGAGAAGACTATCAACTGCATGGAGACTGGCGTGCCTGGTGGGGCGGTCATCATCCGGGTCTTCATCACGTCGAAGGGAGTGGTGACAACTGCTGCAAGCCCTCCAGACAATGCTCCAACTGCTATAGTTTCCCATGGTTCCAACTCTCTGCTCAAGACATGCTGTGCCGCCTACAAATCCATGGGCATGATGATTGGTTAGATACATTTAATTTTGGAAAACTAACATGAGATTGCAAATGAAACAGATAAATTTTAGACCATTAATAGCAAAAGTTACTAAGCATGATGTAAAATTACATTTCAGCTTTGGACAACTAACATATATGACTAAATTTGAAGGTATGGTGAAAGAAAAAAGAATGTAAGAATTCAATTTACCTTTTTAGCTTCACCGTAAAGACACATTCCGGCAACATAGAAAGGAACCTCACGACAAAGAGTGGCCCCAGTGCCACGGAAGAAACCCTTTAGGCCATCTTTTTGCATGGTACCAACAATGGCCTCCCCTACATTGTCGAAGATTCCAGCCTGCAACCGTTGCTTAAGAACCTCACAAGGAATACGGACTGCGGTTCCCAGGATTGTGCTGCAGAAGGAAGCCAACGATTGCACCTGCGAGAGGAACAGATATAAGGCAAAACAATTATTCAAGTACTCTTTCTTTTCGCCAATACTTCAGGTGTAAGCCAAGCAGAATAACTTCTGTAACTATATCAGAATGCTATCAAGGGAAAAAGAATGTGGTTCTATACATGATGGCTTAGGCAGGTCAGGTTTCTAATTAGCACGGGAGGTAAGATACAAGCCAAAGAATTAATGCTACAGCTAAAAACTTTCTGTTCTGACACTGACAAGGCAGGTCCAGACTCAATGCCAATGAGACAGTGAGTCGATTATACAACATTTCAACACTTTGAATTATAGATAATAGAAAAGGTAAATATGGACCATGAACAGTAAAGAGTGTACCTGAATCTCCGGAAGTGTTGGAGCCACTCTTACTAATATGAGCTTACTTGCTTCAAAAATTCCTGTCCTCAAACCATGGCTGCAAATGGCATCGTATGAATATGCAGCCTTCACAAGAAAGCTTGCAAAAATTTAGAAAAGAACTGACCTTGAAAACTGTCCGAGAATTGCAGGGATAGAACCTCGATACAGTCCTTGAATCCCAATTTGTGGAAGCTTTGCAATTAGCTCTGGAAATGAGAGCGTAGATGCTTGGACACGTGTCTGATAATATGAGAAGACAAACTTGAATGAGAAACCTCCATGGGACTGCAAATTCTCTCAACGAGATCATTAAATTTCAGCCAGCCTAGGCTAACACAGGATATGGTGAGTAAGCTTATACTCCCTCCGTCCGAAAATACTTGTCATCAAAATGAATAAAATGGGATGTATCTAGACGTATTCTAGAGGGCAGGCCTGGCGCAGTGGTGAAGTCCTCCCCACTTGTGCCAAGAGGTCCTGGGTTCGAACCAGCCTCTCTGCATTGCACTTTGCAGGGGTAAGACTAGGTTCCTATAATCCCTCCCCAGACCCCACCTTGTGTGGGAGCTTCTATGCACTGGGTCTGTCCTTATCTAGACGTATTCTAGATACATCCCTTTTTATCCATTTTGATGACAAGTATTTTCGGACGGAGGGAGTAGCAGATAATGAGTTGTCATACTATGCAGTGATAGCTCGCGATAGACCTAGCTGTGCTAGATGTGCTTCCTTTAACTTTTTAGTTGCATATGGTCAAGAGTCCTAGGATTTGACTTTAAAGCTTTATGGTTAATTCTCTGACATGGAGCCTACAAGGTGCATATGTTGTTCAACATTATCTGATGTTAACTTATTTGGCTTCAGTCACTTTGGTCATAAAGATATCCATCTCTAAAAATATCTAGTGAAGGCATTGCTGAATGAATGCTTTGGAGATCAAACTTGTTTTAACTGAAAGGTGAATGGAAGCATGTTGCTGTACCTTCATTGTATCAATAGGGTGCAACATAGAGGTAGAAAGGGCACTAGCAAGACCTCCAGCTAAAGCCGACTTCAAAACATTTCCGGCAGATATTTCTACAGGTGGGGGAACAGCAACCAATGTAGCTGCTTCAAACCAAATGTTCCTGAATGCATTTGTAAGTGAAGAAACAAGTCAATGGCAATCTGAGTAGGAACACTGCTAAAAGATACTCCCTCCATCCCATAATATAAGAGCGTTTTTGGCACTAGTGTAGTGTCAAAAACAATCTTATATTATGGGACGGAGGGAGCAGTCAAGAAGGGGCAACTATTGCCATGCCTAGTTGGTTGTTCACTCAAGTCAACTCGGATGTAGTATCACGCTAGACATACCGAGGATCATCTTCAAGGCGCTCTGAAGGAAGTAGAAGCATGAAACTGCGAAAATGGCTGTATGAGATTGATCCTTCTGAATCTGCATTTAGATAGCGCAGCATGGCAGCAGCATTATCTTCATTGGCCGGGAGGCCTGCCCCTTTTAAAGATTCAACGATTTGATTCTTGTGAAGCGTCCCAGACTTGCTCAAACACAGTGTGGTGTATGCCCGGAGTATTGTTGCCTCCTTCTGCTCCATCAAGGATAGAAATTGTTTCCACCCAATCGACTTTGAAAACCTGTTATTTCTGGTACGCCGTAACAAATCCCGAGCGTACCTCCGCGGCAATCGCCTCTTTCTCATTGCAACTTCAAGATCTTCTAGGGTGACTTGGCCATCACCATCCCTATCCAATTCCTCAAAGAATCGCTTCCCTGCAGCAACAATAGGTGCACAATATAACTTAGGTGAAACATGGCAAGAGTTACCGCTATTCATTTTGAAAAGAATAACAAATGAACGTTTCCACTAGTAAGATTTCAGCAGCATTATTTTTCTAAAAGATTTCAGCAATATGTGACAGCATCAAACCAATCTCTGGAGCTAGATGTATTGACATAGATGATACAATACCCTCGCAAACATTAGATTACCCAGCAGAAGTCTTGTTCTAAAGGATTGTAGTGCATAGTCCAAGTAGCGTTTATTAAAATTGTAAAGCAATATGATGGAACTATCACCTTCGCCAGTGTTCAACGAGGGCGCAAGTAAAGCTCACAGGCCTAAAAGACACTTTTCTACGTAATACGCGAGTAAAGCTACACAGACCCTCAATCTGCATATTGGAAGGTCATCTATGTGAATAAGACAACTATGCAGTTCAGACTGATAGAAATAAACAATGTATTACCAGACGTTTTTGTAGGCTAGTTTAGCCAGCCTACAAAAACGTTTTATATTTTGATACGGAGGTATAGTACATTTCAACAGTTATCCTACAGTTGTTTCATTCGGCAATTCTCTGTTTGGCACCCTATAGATAACATATTTCTTTAGTTGACAAGAAACATGATGAGTTTCTGACAATTGCAAATCATCAGCCTATATACACCAAATAAGCAAAGTATAATGCGAGGAATCCCTCGCGTTGGAAAACGGTGTTACTATACCTTCGATTTCTGCATACCGGAAGAAGTCTTGCACGGAGAAAAGCTTCTTCTTGTCTGGATGGCTATCGACTGAAGTCGACAATCTGCCAACCAGCTGTGGAACCAACTCAATCAGCTCCGTCAGTGAAACCGTGGACAGAGTTGACCGGAGCCGCTCCACATTCGACAATGGGATGTTGAGCAACCGGCCGGCAAACTTCTGTGGCGGCTGTGCAGCATCACCACCACTGTCAACCCCTTCCCTCTCCCCAATTACGCTTGTACGGACCTCCTGGCCAGCAGCCGATGGCGCCGAGGCCTGGGAGTCATCGGCATAGCTCGCCGCCGGCGCCCCCAGCCTGGCGAACCCCAGGTTGGAGAGGAAGCCGTCGAAATCAGCCTTCTTACCAACGATGACCTTCCTGACGACCTGAAACTGGTCGATTTGCAGGGCGGCGCTGCCCAACTCCTCGCCCTTCTGCCTGCACGCGCCCTCCAGCGCCTGCAGGTTGTGCGCCAGGGCGTCGAACGCAATGCAGAGCAGGAGCTCCAGCTGCTGCTGCGGCTGCGGCTGCCTTTTCCCGGCGCCGAGGAGCGGCGGCGGGGCCTGTTTGCTCCGGCCTCTCCTGGGCTTGCTGTGGTCGTTGCCGAAGCATCTCGAGAATGACCGGAGGGGCTTGTGGAGGAAGTTGGCGAGGACGACGTGGAGGTGGAGGAGGCAGTCAGGCTGGCGCTGCTCCTCCTGCTGATGCTGCTGCTTGGAATCGGATCCGGGGAGGTGGAGATGGGCGAGGGCGCCGCGGGCGGCGGCGAGGAAGGAGTCGAGGGGGTGCTGGTCGGACGCCATCGTGACGGGGCGGGCGGCGGCGGCTGCACTAGGTGGCGCGGTGGATCCCGGCGAGCGGCCGCATGTTGGTCAACCGGAGGCGGGCCTCTCTCGCCCGCGGAGGTGAAGGAATGGCGGTCCCCTTCTGTTCCCTTCCGGCGAGCTGCGGCGGAGGAGATGAACGGCCTGAGCTTGCGTTGTTTGTTTCGATGAGGGGAGGAGGGGAGGGGAGGGGTGGCCGGGAGGAGGAGGGGGACACGGGAGGTGGAGAAGCGGCGAGCCGCGAGCAGGAACCCAAAACGACAGGGAAGGGAAAATGGCCTTTTTTTAAGAGAGAAAAATTCCAGTTTTTCCTGGGAAATGAAATGTGATGGCCTGTTTTTCTCTCCATTTTTGGGCCTATTTTTGCTGCCCAGCTTTATTCGTGCTGCTGGTGCTCGTGTGGCCACTGGCCACTCTGAATTGTGTGTCATGCCACTGCCACAGCCGCTGAACATTCACTGCATATCTCATCTCATGTTTTTTGACATGGTACAGTAATTACCGTGCATGACTGTATCAAAATCTAAGACGTTGTTTAACATCATGACAGTGTCAAAAAGGTATTATATTTGGGTCTGTTTAGGGCACATCTAGATGTGCCTTGGTTATTGCACATCTAAATAAGTGACTCAATTAAATTAAAAAGAAAAAAGAAAAAAAAAATGCTTGCACGAATTTTAGAGTAAAATCAATGATGTATGGCTTAGATACGCAAATACTTAGAGCACGTTCAGATGTGTTTTAGCAAACCTAATTATATTTCTGTACGGAGGGAGTAGCATTTTTGTTTAGGGGTCGCATGGAAGTGCACACAAGTAGTGATCTTGTTCGATCTTGAGGAGGATTTTGCAGCAATATGCACATGGCTTTTCCCATACCACCAATGGATGGAAAGGAAAAGGATAACCAAGATCCAACAGCTCCTCCTGTTCAGCGGGCCCCGCCCTTGGTTCTACCAGCAAAAATGGATAAGACTGACGATCCCACGTGTCACATCCGAGATCGGCCACCCCAACGGCCCAACTTCTCCCAAACCAAACCAAACCAAAACCATGCCAGAGAGACTAGCTAGAGTTCATCAGCAGCTCCAAAATGAAACATTTATTCCTGTCACAAAAATCTTACTCGCCCCACCCCAGTATATACTGCACTGCACTTTTCCTCCCCGCTGCAGCAGTAACTAGCACAGCAGATAATTTTAACACAACTCCCTGACTTGCTACTACACAAAGAACATTACCATTATTATTATCATCATTCCGACAATATGACTACTCCTACCACCACATAATATGACCTCCACAATGCCGACCGTTTGGCTAGACGAGCTCGAAGCGCATGAGGAGCCTGACGGACTTGTACCTGTTGCCCTTGCGGTCATGGAGGGGCACGGCGCGGATGCCCTGCTTCAGCTCCATCACCGGCAGGCACGTCTGCCCGCCGAAGTCGTGTTTCTCCGACATGTCGTACTCCTGGACCTCCACCCGCAGCAGGGCCAGCTCCGGCACCGTCAGCGGGAACGTGAACTCTTCGTCCCACACCGGCACCCACTGGTCCTCGATCGTCCGGGTCTTCTTCATCACGCAGTCCGCCCGCACCCCCGCGATCCCCACCTGTTCGTAAAACATTGCCACCCACATTCTCAACACAACAATTTTTTTGAACAACCACATTTTCAACATTTTTTTTGCATGGTAATACGTGTCTCATTCATATCATAACCACATTTTCAACATTGCCAGTCCAGCTGGGTAAGCACGACGAGATGAGATACGTACCCTGGCGTAGAAATCGGGTGGGGAGAAGGCGTCGAAATGAGTCTTACTGAAGTCCATGCGCCACCCGTCCCCCATATATACTTTGACCTGCTCAGGCATTACAACATGTGTTAGTTAGGCTGCAGCTTCTGTGCTCTCTATATAAGGCTGATTCTCAGTTTTCAGAAATTCGTATATGTGGGAGGACCTTGAGAGTTTTCTTCACCGGCAGGCTCGCTTTGGGATCAAACACTTCACCATTTGGGCCTGTCTTTAGCAAGAAGTCAGGCTTTTTCACGTATCCGCAGCCACCGTTGGCTCTGAAAAATCCTTGCATTAATCTTAGCGATTTGTCATGCCCCTGAAATTTCAAAGGCCAATCAAAACAAGGAAGAAAGCTGAATGGTTAAGTGTCATTAACTATTACAAGTCCATGACAATTACTGATGCAATTGCAGCAATTCAGATTCAGAGTGTGTCCAAACAGCTTAACTTCACCTTCAACACTAAGTCGATCTGTATAATACTCTTTTCAAGTGTTACAGACCGCTTTTGTAAAGTTGTTCTGCTGCCTTGCTATGTGAACAAAGATAGATTTGTGAAAAATCGAAAAACATTTAAAAATTTAGATCAAAGAGGTCTGAATGGTGTTATTGCAAAAATAATAGGGTTTATAGGTCCAACAACATATTGTGCTTCCATTCTTTTATAATAGTTGGTTGCCGAGGATCGGTGGGAAACAAGAGTAGGTGAGGTTTGGCAAAGACGTAGTATTACAACAGTTGGTCAGAACTCCGTACTCATTCTCTCAAGTCATTGTTGATCCAGATTATTATATTTGACAGGTCACCAAATGTTATCTCCAAATGCGCGAGATGCTCAAACTTAAACTATGTGAGGAATAAATATAAGCAAAAATGAGCGAACAATGATTTATGAGTCATGACAGTAAGAAATTGTAATCCAACCTGCATGTTAAATGCAACCATCTGCGCACCATGAGTCCAGGCCTTCATTGGATCATAGTTAGAAGAATTAATCCTTGTACCCTTCGGATAAATCCTTAATATATTCCTCTGAGTAAACCTGAATCAAAGCTAAATTAGTTTTCAAAATGTTCATGGTCCAGCAGTGTATCAGCTTCCCTTGTGAAAAGTATATTGAGTAACAAAAGGTAACAATAAATTGACACAGTAATGTTTGCACACAGATACATTGATTGAAATGCCACAACTAGGAACATCAATCATTTCCAAATATTAACCAGGGTATTTCACAATAAATCCCCTTGAGATTAGTATGGTATGACCAAATTAAACTGTGAGAATGTAACAGTTGCTACCATTAGTACCCCAGTGATTTAGGCACATTTTGATTCATGATATGGTGTAAGAGTAGCAGCATGACTGTTCATGTAATATCTTTCCAAGTCATAGTCTAGCATTGCATTTTTGTTGCCACCAGTTCATTTGTCGCATTAAAAACTAAAGACTATAACAATAATAAAAATAATTGGACATATATGGGTTCATAAACCCAACTACACCTGTCGTATTTCAGTTGTTCGGCCCAAAAATTCTAAAGTTCTTCTGCACTGAGCTTCCTATAATCAACTATTGTATATTCCAATTACCTTATGATATCAGCACCATGAGAAGCTGTTGCTTTAGCTAACTGTGTCTCGCTCAAAGAAAGACGTCTGACTTTGTCAGGGTCGACCTTAAGCGCATCCCTCATACGGCCTTTTGGTTTGCCAGCATGGATTGTTATTAGTTTCCTATACTCACAGGCAGTATCCGGCTGAAATTTAGGATCCTCTTCCTCAGATTCTTCGTCATCTTCGTCATCTGGTTCATCCTGTTTATGGCAACAAATAAATTTCTGTACATAATAACCTTTTATTTTTAACGGGTGCATGCCTCCAAAAGGCAGACAAAATTGCAGACCTTGCCATCAGAATCATCAGCATTTGAATCTATTCTTCTCAAGTTTCCTTCCTCTGCTAATTTATCTGCATTGCCACTGTTTTTCTGATCACCCTGAGCTTTAAGAAACTCCCTGTATTCTTGTGGTGGTTTAGTTGAGATGATTATCCTTCTCATTAGAGCTTCTGGAGAAGGGAACTCATTTAGTGTGTCTGAACTAGGGATGTAAAGGAGGTCTCCAAATGTTTCCGTGATCATCTAAGATAAATTAGAGTCAGAACTGAGGATTTAAACAAAATACATGCAGGAAAAGATATATAAAGTAAACTTTACCCCGGCTACTTTGGCTTGGAGATCTGCTGTGAGGTGATCTTCAAGAGTAATTACAAGAGGATATGTCGAAGCGCAGAAAGCGTATTCTTTAATGGACTTTAAACATCTCATGATTTCTACTGGTGCAGTCAATGTCCTTTCAAATGACACGAAAAAGAAGACTTAGGGAACATAGTGAAAAAATTAGGATGATTGCAAATTCAAGAAACGGATTATGACTTAACCAGCAGAAAATAAAAGATAGAATTCAGAAGCTAATAAACAGGTTATAACTTATTCTCAGTTAATTTTACAAATATATCCATATAGATCTAAAAAAATATTCACCTTGTTGTAATAATTTGTTCATCTAGTACAAAAGATTGTAGTGTTTAATCTCAGAGTTAAAAAAAGAAATATTGGATGGATCACAACTTCCAATCGATGGTCCTCGGCATCGACTGAGAACAAAGAAATTCACAAGTGACTGAAATTTAGCGAAACCAAAATTTACATCATGTCATAACTCTACCAGTTCCAAATATCCTGAAATATGTCACTGTTCAAGATTAAGCACATTTTTGTTTTTGTTTTGGTACCATGGGAAAACATGTACTAGCATGTAATCTCACATTCTATCTTACCCATGCAGTACCAAAAAAGATTCACTGGCAGAGTATTTTTATTTAATATTGCAACAACCCTGTTAGTTCTAGTACCCTGAAAGGGTGGAACATGTACACTGTTAAACACTAAGAATAACAAATACACTCACAGGCTCGTAGGTGAAGATGTAATCAATGCTGTGCAGTACAGCAGGACCATCTACCAGGGTGCCTCTGAACACTGATCAGGACCATGTAGTATTTGACCTTTCTCGGTAGGGTACTCACTAGTGTGATTTATTCACTCCAGAAACAGAGCTAAGCTAAGCTCAGATTAATTTTTTTGTTAAAAAGGAAATCATGATATAAAATAATTGTTCTGTCGCCAAAATTACCATAATGGAGTGTCGTGCTGCAATGTAAATACAGCAAGTATTTATAAAATCTATGGGTTGAGGAAGCAGAATGCATACCCTCCATGCAGAATGTCAACACAGTTCTTTGCGGAGTTTGGCCACATGTCGAGTTCAATCACTCGCACGCCATTTTGCAATGCTGCTATGATTGGAACGTCACTGGAGTCACTGTTGAGCTGGTTTCCGGTGAGGTAAGAATTGTGACCGGTGAATACATAGTAATGAGAAATCGGGGCCGACATGTCCTGGTGAACCTGGGAAGAGAATTAAAATAAGAATGGGACGTAATGTATGGTAAGAGCAACAGAAAAATAAAAGCAGGCACAAATGAGCAGCAGCAGCCAGCAGGCGCACATTCTGTACAACAGGCTATTTATTTGTTTTTGGAAACATTTTTTGCAATAGGCTAGACCATAACATAAGTAGTACGTACTAGAACAAAATCTATTTCTGTGAGCCTTCAGGTCCAACTTGTGGGCGAGGACAATTGAAGCAAAATGATCGTACGAAATGCAGGGCCAGATCAGAACATTGCACAAGGTAAGGAAATGAAACAAAAAAAATCTAAAAAAACGATTGCTGGAGTTTTCTGCTTGGGGTAAGAGACGACAAGAACAATCCCGAAACGATGGAGCAATCTTGCTGGTTGTGCGGGGGACGAAGCGAAACCAGGCCTCTCCTGTGGCAGGAGGTGGTTTTCCACTACCTAGAAATAGCCCCCCTTTTCGGTCGAGTGGTATGGGAAAGCGATGGTCAACCCACCCACTGCGGATGTGGAGTCAACATCGCCCATTCACCTTGCATCACGATCACATTCACATCCCAACGAGGGGCGAGTTGAATTAATCTCGTTGACCGCCGCTAGCATTGCACGGCGAGACAGGGCAGCAGATGGAAGGCCGAAGCCAGCCAAAATCGGCCGCAATTTACCGCAACTAGATCGTGCAATCTGTTTCCTCGTAGCCGCAGCAGCAATGAATCAAGCAACAGACGGACGGACGGACGAACGAACGAACCTTGTTGGAGATGGGCGGGTTGAGGTCCGGCGAGAAGAGGAAGCCGAAGAAGTCGTCGAGCGTGGGCAGCGCGGCGGCGGGGGAGCGGCCGACGAAGCGGGCGATCCCGCCGGCGGCGCCGCCGCCGGCGGAGAGCGCGGCGAGGACGCGGTCGGCGTCGGCGGGGTCCTCGCGCTGCACGTCGGCGAGGAAGCGCCGGAGGCCGTCGTCGCCGTGCGCGGCCCCGGCGGCGGCGTGCGCCGCGCGGACGTCGGGCGGGGGGTGCGCGTCCGGGGATCGGAACTTGCGGGTGAAGCACATGCAGTAGCGGTAGGCGTAGCTGCCCATTCCCTTCTCGTGCGCCCGACGGAGATGGCCCGAATCTTCTCCTCCCGCCGGGACCAGGCCTGCCGGGCTACTAGAGACTAGAGGCTAGAGAGAGGGAGAGGATGCACGAGGAGAATGAGATGCCCCCTGCCGGCCGCCCCTCGCTTTGCGCTTTGCCTGGACTGGACTGGGACTTGGACTGGGCTTCTAATGGCGGGTGGGGGTCGCCGCCATTCGCTCGTCGCCTCCGCGTGCGCTCCGCTTCCTCGTCCGCGTACGCGTGGGGCGCGTGTGGGAGAAGGAGACGAGAGGATTGTTTTTACGGGCAGGGCACAGGGGAGGGGAGGGGGCGACCGACTGACTGGCTGGCTCCTGTCCTGATGGCGAGAGTCACAGTGGAAATGGAAGCGGGGGGAGAAGAAGGGAAGCGAGATGCCAGGCGACGCCACGCAGTTTCAAAAAGGCGGGGTCATGTTTTCGCCTACGCCCCTCACTTTCTTCCATACAATTTATCTGGTGCCGACTTACCTTACCCATCTACTCCCTCTATTCGAAAAAAGATGTATCTAAAACTAAAATACGTTTAGATAGATTCTTTTATCCGTTTTGATGACAAGTATTTCCGGACGGCGTGAGTACTACTCACTCTGATCTAAATTAATTGTCGCAGCTCTAGTACAGCTTATTTTTCGGAATACATCTACTACTCATTCTGATCTAAATTAATTGTCGCAGCCCTAGTACAGCTTATTTTTCAGAATACAATCGAAACTTAGGTGTTTGGATGCTGGCCAAAACTCGCCATACCCAAAAAAGTTGGTCATTGCTGTTTGTTTGGATGGTTGTAATTTTTTTTGGCACGGTGATACTGTTTGATGAGTAGCTAACTCATTCACAAGCAAAAATTTAATCAAATTATTGAGTAGCCAAGTTTTTAGAAGGGATTTAATTAGAGTGCAAATATATGACTAGCCAATTATTTAGTAGGATTTAAATTGGACTCCAAATATACTACCGTTAACTTTTGAATACGTTGCAAGGAGTCAATTATCTCACCGAGAATGCAAAAAAAAACATAATATTCATGTAGGAAAGTGTAGGTTCCTGCCTAGACTAAATGATTTATATTAAAAGAATTATGGACTTGTGCAAAAAAGAAAAAGTTACGGGCGACTTAAGAATTTATCTCAGTAAGATATGAAGTACTTATTACATAGATTAGCTCAATCAAGCCTTGTTATTTTTCCCTCGGAAGGTCCAACACATTTCTTTTTTTTATCTTCCATGCCTCGTCAGCGACTTCATCGCTCTTCATATACATGGTTTTCACTCGTGTGGGATTCTCATACCGCATGACACATTTATATGTTCACATTCGTGCATTCAGATTTGGGTGTTGGCCTAGTGATGTGGAAACCACAATATATCTCCAATGTGTTCATAAAATTCCTACTCTCCCAAAAAATTAGTGTATTTTGCTTTGGTCGGCTAGGATTGGGCAAGGGTGAATTAAAATTGTTTAGGATTTTTTTTCCCCATGAATTCTCGACAAAACTGAGCATCTATTTATTTATTTTCACTTGTTCATATATATCCGGAGAGATGAAGAGTAAAGCTTTGGTTAGATATGAAAAGAACTAATCCAATATTCGCACACCCACAATCTAAGCTAGAGCTAGGTAGCTTAGGTTGCCACTTTTAGTTGGGTTACTAGTTATTCCGCATGAAAAATGCTTTGCAGCTGTGTTAGTGCGCCACCAGGGTGATGGTTTAATTAGGTCCCCTTTGCATGGTCGGTATCTTATGCAATTTTAAGCTTATTTCATTAAGACCAAACGTGTTGTCTCCTCTGGCTGCCTTTCCTTGAGGAATCTGGACACGTCCTATGCAGGCAAGTTCCTAGCTTTAGATACCAAAATCACGGGATTAAATTCAACGTCTTTTCTTTTCCCCGAGGAACACTGCCTTTTCGTAAAGAAGAAAGAGGTGAAAACCCCATATTTACAGAGATGCACGCGTTTTGAAGGGAACATGGCCAACCCTGATAGAAATTCTGACCCGGTCTTAGCCCACACTTACAATGGGCACGTCAACACAAAACACCCTCTCTCTATGCTTGATCTCGTCGAAGGCTAGCATCGCTACCTGGTAGAAATTCAACGTCTTGAGAAGTTATATGGTCAAGAGAAGAAAAAAGAAGAGGTGTCGATAAGACATAAGACGATGTAAATACTGGCAAGTTAGAGGGTGATTTGCAAAGCAAACTTGTACGACTAGAAGCAGGCGAAGTATAGAAAAACAATGACCGAGAAGACTTGCACGATTAGACAAACAAGTGAATTGAGTGGGTGAGGACTCAGGAGGTGGTTCAAACAGACAGCTATTAGTATTTGGTAGTAGAGTGAAAGAAAGGAAGAAAGAAGACGTGAAGGCAAGTCATGTAAAAAACATAAACAATACGTAGTGTTAATTAACGTTACCAAGGCCTTGCTGGATCAAGCAAAGACTTTGGGCATTTCCTTTTTTCTTTTCTTTGGTTTTTTTTTAGCAGCTGGTTTGGTTTGGTTTGATAGAAGCAACCAAAGAGTGAGTTGGATGGGGTGATGCATGCATGCATCATTTATTGACTGGATCCGCCAATGAGACGCATAGCATGTGACACTTTTAATACGGCCACCTCTCTGGTATACTACTTTAATCGGCAGATTAGATGCAACAAACGCATCTGAGTAGAGTACTTATTTTGAGGCAACGATTTGTTTTTCTTGCTAAACCGATGTTCTTTCTATACTATATACAAGCGATGGAATCAAAATGTGCTTGGTTGCTTGTGAACCGTGCGTGAACTTGGCAGCCGTTGGTGAACCCGTTGCTTCCGAGCCGTGAACCGTCGTGCAGTTGTACTCCACTCCACCCCACTCCGCTCCGCTCCACTCGGAATAAAACCTCCTTGGCCAATGCCAATGCCAACTGGAGTTAAGCCAGAACCGTGTCTAGGTAGGCTGGCTGGCTGGCACATATATGTGGAGTATGCTATGGTGATTTATTTTGCATGCTTGTGTACACACACGGCTAAAAGTGTTGCTCATCGTATCTCAATCAATCTCAAAAGGTAGTGTGTACGTCCCGTATGATTGCTGATTGCTGCTCCACGAAGCCGCGCGACCGGGCTGGCTGGCTGGCCTGCATGCGGTTCGATGGCTGTCCTTCTCTCTGTCTTGTCTGCCTGTGTCCCTGGCTACCAAACATTGGAATCCCAAACATTGATATGTAGCTCGTGTTCATTACCGCAAACACATATTCTCTCGCACGCTCACTTCAGGACATCCTCATCCATCGAATGATTAGGGTTACATTTCCCGCAAAAAAAAAAAAGAAATAATTACATTGGTATGATCCCTACATAACTGAGTTTATGTTACTTCCTTAAATGTCTAAAACGTCTTACAAAAATGAACAAAGAGAATACAACTTATTCGATTGCATCACACACACACAAATTAAAGAGAATTGGTCCAGTACATTATAAAAACTGTGCGCGCACGTGTACAAAAACTATTTGACATCCAATCTTAAAAATAAAAAATGCACAGAAGCAAAAATTCTACGGATTCTAATCCTCTAAATTCATATGAAAAATCTGATCTTAGAGATCTACAGCCGGACACCCCAAACCCCCCTCAAACGCCTGGACGGACGACCCAGTCAATGGCCGGTCAAAAAATAAAACAGACCCAGACGGACGGCTCAAACGGGTCTCAAATGCCCGGGCTGACCGACACCCCTCATATTCGGCCAAAATATGGGGCAATATGGGGAGACCCAGACGCGCCCGCCACGTCGGACCGATGGTGGGGTCCCACACAGAATCGCTCGGAAACCCAACTGTCTGACGGACGTCTCCTCCAGTGGGGGTGTGA